GTCCCTTTAAGGCTTCCAAAAAGCACTCGCCAAAAAAAAAAAACCGCTCCGGTTTCTTTCCACCTGCCGGGAGCCGGGGGGAGGGGCGCTCGGGTCCCGCCGGGCCGGGGCTTGTATCTTACCCCCTTCGCAAGGCGCTGGGTTCTTGCAGGTGTGGATGTGGTCTGGATGTTGTCCCGTGTCCTGTGGTCTCTATTTTAGGAAGATTTTTCTTTCAAAAACTTTTAAATAAAAGAACTTGGCTTTTCTCAAGGCAACTCTGAGAAGCACGTGTCATTTTTTAAAAGTGATTTCATAGAAGAGGAAGTGGCTTACTTTCCCTAAGTCTGTTTTCTTGTTTTTAAAATGGACTTTAAAATTAGAATACCTACCTCATAGGTTTGTTGGGAGGATAAAATAAATCAACCCATGTGAAATGAAATAATGCAGTGATTTGCATAGATTGTGTTAAGTTAGCATTGTTACTCAGAACTTGCTATTTGCTAGGCGCATTGTCAGAATTTTTATACTAACATATAATTTGGGGTAATTTTTCTCCCTAAGTAACAAGAAACTGCAGAATGGTCTCAGTGACCTTTGAGAAAGAGAGGCGGCAGAGAACCTCCTGGTCCTGTTTTGCACAAGGGAAAACTGAATCCAAGGACTAAGGTTTCACAAGGTAGGAAGTCAACAGGCAGAGGTTCTAGCATCAGCTCACCCCAAAACACACCGTGTTGCCTTAGGGATTTTGTGGCTGGTCCCCAAGACTCAGGTCTCCATTCCATTATTGGAATGGAGTTAGAATAAAATGTCTCTTTTTCTGTTGTTAATGTTAATGTCTCTTTCAATTCTGTCTGTCACTTTGCATTATTAGAGGAAATCTTGAGGAGCAGGGCTGAAAAGCAGAACCGGACCCAGAGTCCTGATTACCCGGATCCTCTTCCACTGAGCATTCTTCATCCCTTGGAAAATGCTTGGGAGGCTAAGATTTTGCTTTCCCAAAGGGAGACTCATTTCCTGCCCAGAGTCATTCCTGACTGAGACCCCACATTTATCAGGCCCCAGACCAGAGATAAGTACTGGGTGTAGCCCAGCTCCCTACTGAGTGACAGACCTCCAAGGAAGAGACCCAAAACAGCCAGTGAGCTGCCCCTACTCGTTAGGGACAGGCACCTAGGCAACTGGATGGACGGAACACCTGCTGAACTCAGATTTTGTTTATTTATTCCCACTGAGGTTTCTCTGGTCCAGATTAAATCAAAAGCCTTGGAGAAAAAACCACAAAAATGGATAGTCACTGGCTGATGGGGGGTAACACCCAGTCGAGTTACAAAATTAGTCCTACTAATGGAATATAATCTACTCAACCACATCAGCCAAACATCTGTGGGGGCAAAAACATTCCAAACTTCTTATGTTGATACAACTTTTGAGACCTCACATCTCCCACTGTGCAGCTATCCATTTCTGGAAACCATTCCTAGGGTACTATGTCTTTCTTGGGAAACAATGAAAAAACAGGGGAGAAGATATGGAAAAATCCCCCTGGTCAGACTTGGAGTCCTTCTGTAGCATCTCCTGGTATATAAAATCTGCCTATTTCCTAATAATAACAAGCATGAACTTCCACTTACTGAGCTTTTACAGTGATTGGCCACTCTTCTGAACCCTTTATGGATATATTAGTTCATTTAACTCATATAACAATCCTCTAAGGTAGGCATGATTACTATCCCCATCTTAACCTAGCATACAGCGGTTAGTAAGTTATCCATGGTGTCAAAGCTAGTTAGTGGTAGAGCAATTACCCAAACTCAGGATCCTGACTCCAGAGTGTACACTAGACCACCTTGCCTGCAGCGGAACAGGAAAGAACAGGAAAGTGGGTCCCTACTTGGTTTCTTTTTAGGTAGTTATAGACCAGCTATTCTAGATGGGAGCTGAGAGAACATGTACGCTAGTGAGGGCATTATCTCAATCCCGTGCCTATGACAGACACTGCCAGACAGCCACACACTGTCTTCTGTTAATCCAAGGCAAGGCCTCAGAGTCCTCAACACACCTCTCTGTGCAACCTATACCAATCAATCGATCTGATAAATGACTGTGCAGGAAAAGCCAGGAAACAGCCTTGCAGTGCCTCAAGGCCAGTATTCCATTCTGTAATTTCCCACAGTAACCCCATCAAAGACTTTAATCAAGCACCTCATTAAATGTCCCATTAAAGACTGCTTCGCCTTGCACTGTCTCCTACTTGGGGGTCTAGCGTTGGGCACAAAGAGGATAAGTGTGGGTTCTTCCCTCCTTTTTCTCTTTGATATTTTTAGCCATCAGGCACCTTGCCTGCAGCGTGCGCTCAGGGAGTGAGGGTTTTCCAAATGTGTTCCTTGACTCTTTGGAGGTGAGGGCATGGGGGCCACAGTTCTGCTTCAAACAGATCCACTCCACCATAGTTTATTTGACTTACAGGCTTTTGCTATTTCATTCCATTTGGAATAAAAGGTTTTAGCAGCCAAGAAAATAGTGTAGAAAGGTACAGGAACTTCTGTACTGCTTTCTATAGTGGCTGCACCAATTTACATGAGGGCTCCCTGATCTCCCCATCCTCGCCAACACTTATTTTTCCCCGTCTTTTTTGATAACAGCCATCCTAACAGGTATGGGATGATGTCGCATTGGGGCTTTGATTTGTATTTCTGGGGAGATGCTTGTCAAAGTGTACAAACTTTCAGTTATGAGTAAGTTTTGGGGATCCAATATACAGCATGTGACTGAAGTTAATAATACTGTATCACATCTTTGAAATTTGCCACGAGAACAGATCTCAAGCATCTCACCCCATTAAAAGAAAGAAAGGTAACTCTGTGAGGTGATGGACATGTGAGGTAACTGGATGTGGTAGTCATTTCACAAAGTATGTGTATATCCAAACATTACTCTGAACACATTAAATATATACAACCTTTATTTGTCAATTATTCCTCAATTAAGCTGGGGAAATAATGCTCAGGAAGTCAAGATTCATAGGATCTGTCCAGCCCTGATGTCCTATGACATTAAAATGCCAGAGTGCTGAGATCCTATGATCACTAGATTGAATCAGGGGCAAGGGTCTCGTGTGCCACAATTCCTGGGTTCCCAGAGATCTGGCAATGTGCAGAGCTGCTGAAATCTGTCTGCATCTGGGTGGGAGCCTAGTGGAAGTTCTAGAACCCCTTCCTGGTCTTTAAACCCTAATGGCCATTAAGTGAACACAGAAACTGGGAAGGTTCTTGGATCTACTTATCTCTTCCTGGACGTGGTTTCTTTGCTTCATTCCCCCACTGCAGATGTTCCATTCCAGAGAAAGCAGAGCTTTTAAGAACAACCCTCTCAGATTACTATCTGTGCTCAATCATTTCACAACCACATACTCCCTACTTTGAGCCCCTGGATGGATGAAATGTATGCCAGGGCTCATCCACCTATTTGCCCCTCATGTCCTATTAACCTGCCAGGATGTGGAACTTGGTCAGTGCTTCATGCCCCTCCCCCACCCCACACCCACCACCCGCTTCATGACTTAATCACTATCCTGGTTAGGCAAAGGCTTCCCTAGAAGCTCCCACCCTCTTTGCAATATTTAAAGGGCAGGCAGAGTAATCAGAGTTGCAGAGAGGTTGACACCAACCCACAAACCAAGAATTCTCAGCTGAAGCCCCCGTGCTCAGCCTCTGCCAGCATGAAGATCTTCACAGTGCCTCTGTGCCTGTTGCTCCTAGCAGCTGCCTTCTGCACCCATGTTCTCGCTCAGCCAGGTAAGGCCCCTCTTCCCTCCCTTCTGGGAAATTTGGCCCCTCCACAACTATCAGATCAGCAACAATCTGCAGAGACTTGCTGCAAACTTTACATTTTAAAGATGGGAAAACAGGTTCTATGAGTAGACAAGGAGTGCCTTGAGCTCACACTGAGAAATCCTGGCCCTTGAGGCCAGTCCTACATTCTTCCCTGCATAGGTTAAGATATGAATATGGGGAGAGACGCAGTGTGTATCCATGATCCGGCTGCCCTTATGGAGTTTGGGAGGGGTCTTATAAAAGAAAGGCCCTTTCTTACTGTGGGTGCAGAGGGTATTTTTAATCAGTAGTAGAGGGGAAAAAAAAGCTTTTGTTTGTAGATCCAGAATTTTTACTGGTCACCAAGACAGCTTTCAGAAACAGTGGTTAGCGGAAAGGAATGAGGTCCCAGGCAAACATGTTTTGACTCTTTGGGGAAAAATACCTAGGTGTTTGTATCATAACTCTTTGTTCCATCTTCTGATGACTTAGATTTACTGTATGTCAGCAGTAAACAGGGTAAGATAATGCACGCTGTGGTAATAAACAGTCCTCAGTGATTACTTAAAACAGTGTGCCTTAAAACAACAAAGGTTAAATTTCTCACTCGTACTAAATTACTGTAAGGAAGTGTCTAGAGCTTCAGCTTCGTATACTCAGTATTCTAAACTGATGGAGCAGTCGCCCTTGTGACATTGTGACAAAGAACAAGTAAGCTCTCAAGGGTCTCCCACTGGCAATTATAAACTAACTCAGAAATGACCCTTGTTCCTTTGTCTTCTCACTTACTGGTCAAAACTAGTTAATGGTCCCAACCAACCAAAAGTGGCCAGGAAAAGCAAGTCACCCATGTATCTAGATAGCAGACGGTGGAGAATATTTGGTGAACAGTACTATGACCATCACATAGTGATAGACCACATAGCTTCTCCTAATGACAGGGCTAAAACTTACTGCATCAACCAAAACTTTTTACAAAGTCTCGCCAGTAGCAGTGGGTCCCCACTGCACGGCTGGGCACGCCGAATCCAAGGCAGAGGTACAGGACCTTAGGGCAGATAGATTCTACCTCCACCCCTTATATTTCTTTGCCTAAAGTTCCTTCCTTCCTTACAAAGTTATGCTTTAAGATATCTACATATTATTAGTGGTTCATTCTTTCTAATGATCTCTCCCCCAAATTCAGCCTCTCTCCCAACCATCTGTTGCTTTAGAGTGGCCACTAGGAAGATCTCCATTCAGCGACTACAGAGCTACAGAAGAATCCCTGGCAACATGTGTCCCCAGACAGCAGTGATGTACGTAGATAAAGCTCATGCCCTCCCAGCCCAAAACCTCACTTCTAGGGGACAGAGGTCAAGAACTGGGTCAAAGTTACTTGCAATCATAAACTCAGAGAGGTTAACCTCTATAATCCAATCTATGAATCTTCACAACACAAAATTTACACTCCCAGCACCCGGCCTGGAGGCTAATTCAGGTCGTACCAGTTCCTTTGAGTCAAGAGCAAAGACTGCTTTACTGGGCCATCAAGAGCAGCAGCTAACTCCATGGTTCCATCCTTCCTCAGACCCCTTTTCCACCTCCCCCTTCTTTCCCTGGGCCCATTGCCCCATGGCAGATGATCCTGGAAGGTTTAGGGTTAATGGACCCAATTTTTTAAAAGGATCCTTCTAATTGCTTCCCTCTGTCCCACAGCTTAAAGACCAAACAGGCCAAGGAGATCTGTGCTGATCCCAAGGAGAGGTGGGTCCAGGATGTCATGAAGTACCTGGACCAGAATCCCAAACTCTAAAGCCATAAATATTCACTTTTTTGAGACCAAACCAGAGCCTGACAGTTTGAAGCACTTTCTTCAATCTTCCTAAGATGCATTCCGAGATAATCGAATTATCATTCCAGAAGAAATGACTTGTACTTGGTCATGAAAAAATAAAACCTATTGTATTGAAGTTACTGATGTTTTAAAACTCACCTGCCGTGAGTATCAGTCATTTTTAAAATATAAAGCTTTGGGCAGGCGCCGTCCCCTCTGTGCGCCCCAAGTCAGTGGCCTGCAAAGTCCGGGTCCTGCTCCTCCTCTCCTCTCTGCCTTCCTAGAATCTTGTAAGGGTCCTGACAAGGATCATCGGCAGGAAGATGCTCTGTATATTTAGGAAGACTCTGTTCTTGTGAACCAAAGGTGTGACTCATAATGTTAAATGGAAGTAGGTGTTATTTTAGGAATACATAAAAAGTATGCATTTTAACTTACAGGCTGCAGTGGCATATTTTGTGAGGAATCATAATGACGATCTCACATGGAGCTGGGAGGGTAAGACCGTGTCAGGGACGAGCAGTACGGTCACGGGGGTGGGAGCTGTGTCCTTGGGGAGGGACTCTTTGGCTCAGCTGGTCTTCAGTGAGACTCGGGGTGAAAATGACAGGGCCAAGCAAACCCTTTCCATCCCCTATTTCTGGTCCCCAAAGGTGATTTCCCAGACCCCAGATATTTCTGTCACTTTTTCAGCAGAAGCCTTGTCACCATTCCTTTCCTGGCCAACCTCAGGCTCGCCTGAAGTCCTTCCCATGACCTGTGGCAGCAGCCTGTGGATTCTCTGTGTGCCTGACCTGACTCCTCCAACCATCCGCCCACTCTGAATACACAAACAGTACAGTCATTGGGAAGGCAGAAGAAGGCAGGAGGACCCTGGACAAGAGGTTTATTTGGAGCAAGGCTTTATAGGCACCCTTTAAGTGCTCTTTATAGGCGCTCCTTAAGGCTTCACGTTGGAACTTCAACCAAGTCTTAAATGGATGAACAAAAACAGGGGTTCTTTTGGAGGTATTTCAGGCCAGATAGAGAGGAGGCAGGTATAGTTTGAGCAAATGCCTATGTAGGGACCAAGGCTAGGCTGCCCCAAAATGTGCCACTTTGGCACATGGATGACTTTGAGTTAAAGCAACTGGAGAAGCAGCTGATGCAGGAGGGATACTCTGATACTCTTCTGTGTCCCCCTGAAACCAGACAATAAATCTCTCATGTGAAAGATGCCTTCCCTGAACAGGGAGATAGAGAGACACCCTTACCAACAGAGTCGGGGAATTCAGTCATAGAGAAGGCTGCATAAACAAATCTTGTTACTTTTTTACTAATTTACTACCCCAGCAAAAAATGCTGTTTAGAATTCCTTACTAATTGAAGCCAGCACACCTAAGTTTTCTTTGTCCTGTCAGTTCCTCAGATTTATTGTCTTTGTCTAAAATGTATAAAAACTGCCTGCCTTGGTCACTTCTTAAGGTATCAATTTCATTATTGGGCCTCTGTATGTACCTAATAAACGTTTGCGGTTTTTTCTCTTGTTAACCTGTTTTATGTTAAAACGATTCTTAGACCAGCTAGAAGTACCTTTAAGGGTAAAGGAAAACTCTTCCTCCCCAACACCTAGAAGTAGAGATGATTATGATGTGTTTATCAAATTGTGTGGAAGCCACTGGGGAAATGTTGGAAGGGGAATATGGGAGAAGTGGTGGGGAAATTTGGGAAGGAAAGTTGAGGCCAGTCTATGAAGATGGGGGTTTGTGCTCCATGCAGTAAGTAAGATAAACATGTCATTTTTAATACCCAATTTAGGACACTCTTGAGAATAAAAGGAGGCATCATTCATTATTATGCTGGGATAATGGATTAACTAACCCTATCCCAGGCAAACTGAAGCATCCGCTCCCCCTAGTACTTACGAGCATTGAGTTTTGATTCAGTGGGGGAGCACCGTGACCAGAGGTGCTTCAGGAGGAGTAAATTGATGGCTATGCACCGGACTGGGTGGGGAAGGGCGGAGCAGGCAGCACCCTTTTACAGTGTACAGGCAACAGGTAAGGGGGCACAAACCAGGAACTGGCAGATGGGGAGGGCAGAAGCAATCGTGAGAAGGATGGGACTAGGTGGGTGAAATGTTGAATGGTGTGTACAGAGAGGCAGGACTAGGTACAAGGAAACTTCCAGAACTACACAGTTGCAATTGAAGGGGGGCTGCTTAGACCCAGAGAATTCCCTGCCCTCCATCTCTTCCCCTCACCCCTAACCTTCCAAGATGCAGAGCTTCTTGTATAAGCACCTCAAATCAGGATTTCCCTGCAGCATATGAACACAAGTGGCATGTCTGTCAGTCATGTGACCCCTGTGCCTAGACACAGAACCTACTATGTCCTTGAGGATAAAAAAAGGTCATAGATGCCCTGCTGATATATAACTCCATGTGGTCTGAGGCTGCCGATCTGGAGCTTGGGTGGCCCGCTGTATAAGCTACACCCAGCAGGGTCACTACAGCGCACAGCTCCCAATGGCACCATTCCCACCAGAGTGCCCTTGGGCCCCTGTAAGTGGTGGCCGTGGCACATGGTAATGCACACGGCAGCATGAGGCACTAGGAAGATCAGATCACTGACCTGGGAGGCAGGTGACTTCTGTTTTAGCCCTGGAATTGGTCTCTCACTGTTACCTTGGGCCCCATCCATAATATGAGGATAATGATAGATCACTGACCTGGGAGGCAGGTGACTTCTGTTTTAGCCCTGGAATTGGTCTCTCACTGTTACCTTGGGCCCCATCCATAATATGAGGATAATGATGTTTTAGGGCAGTAACTAAGGGGTCTAACAGGTGGCCCCACAATATCTCCTGTGAGAGCACATTCTCTTGGAGAACATTACCATCTCCACCCATCGGGCAGGGAAGTTTGGACAAGGGTTCTCTGCTCAGACTCCCAAGCCAGACAGGGAACAAGGTAACTGATACACTTGTTCTTTCTCAGACTGGCTTCTCTGGGAAGCTGGAGGTCCTGTCCACTTGACAGCCTGAGCCTTTCTGGGAAGCTTGAGCTTGGAAAGTTAAGGGGTAAGGGGGAGAGTGATGGAAGACAGGGAATTTTCTCGGTCTAAGTGTTACTGGAGACTGGTCTTTGGACTCATTGTGAGGAAGAAATCAAGAGCAGACAAACAGCGGCTGATCATTAAGAACTCATTTGGAGAATAAGAGTTTAAAGAAAGGCAGAGACACAGCAGCCAATTAGAGTGGAAGTTTTATTTGGATCCACTCCAAGGGAGGAGCAGGCCAGAGTCAAGGTAGACAAAGACCTCTACCTGTTAGGCAGGAGGCCTATATATTGCATCCTAGTTAAGGAGGCGCCTCTGTGGCTGACAAGGTGGGGTCATGTGATGCACAGGTCCATCTGTATGGCCATCCCTGTCAGTGAGCCCATCCTACCCCCACGCTGAGGTGTGATCTAAGCAGTTCTCAGTCCCATTCCATTGCGCCCCTGCTGGGATCCGACTGGGGAGGAAGTTCTCTCCCTGCCAAGCCTTTGCTGTCTCCACATGCGTCTCCCTCCCTGGGCAGGGTTTGGGTGGCTTCTTCTTTGAGCTTTATTTTCTCCTTTTCCAGTTGCTCGTGTCTGTCTGTCTTTCTACCTAACATTCCTAACAAGAGTACATGCCTGAGTGTTAGGCAAAGGCAGACCCAGAGTGGGGTTGCCTTGAGGAAATAATAAGGAGTCTATTTATGTAAAGGGAGATAAATATTCACTAAGTGGGGGTAGGTTTCAAAGGGAACAGGTGAAGTCTTCTTGGAGTCTGGGTTTACTCCACACTTATGTCAGGTGGGGAAATTTTTGGCCAAATTTGATTCTCTTAAGAATTGTCATGGCACAGTGAGGTGTGATTTTTATTATGTTAATGAGTATATAATGTATTTTGGGTAAAGTTTGGGTCAACTTCTCCATGTTGGAACCAGCCATTTTTGGCTGGTCGGTTACCTACATTCTCACTCCCCACACACCATGAAAACAGCTTACATGGAATGTGTAGGGTGTACACATGGGCTGACTGTAAACAATGGCCAAAGACCCCCGCCCCCCTTCCCTGCTCACATCTGGCTATCTACGTACTCTAACACAAGCAGCCACCCTTCCTCTGCAGCTTTGTGGAGTGTGGGGCATATGAGGGCCTCAAGTAGAGACCTGAGCCCTAGGAGCCATCAGAGAACTTCTAGTGGCTGCTACAGAATGGCTCCCATTCAAAGCAGTTGCTGGACCTCACTCCAGGTACAACAACCTGCCTGCCTCTCCTGCAGCCTAGCAGACTTCAGCTCTAAACACCGCTCAGGGGGCACCTCCGAATATCTGCATGTCTGCAGGAGGCAGACACCTGCAGACCAGCAGTAGGAAGGCCGCAGGACAGCTCACTGGGATCAGCAGACCCTCCTGTGTCAGGCAAATCTTGAAGGAGAATCAGGAAAGGAGAGTAAAAGGGGAGAGGTGCCTTCCACTTGTGAAAGACTAAACAGAACCTGCTCACGTCCCTATACCAAGCTTTCTCTATTCTCTTTCAAGGAATCCTGAACCCACTTCACCTCCAGCCAGGCACAGCACCACCTGCCCCTGGAGTATGAAATTGTGGGCACATAGCATTGGAGATGTTTATATCTTCTGATGGCACACAGACCCCCCACCAGGAACCAGAGATGTCATCAAATGGTTTCTCTGGGAAGAGACTCTTTGATGAGACTTGTCATGCAGAGCACGGAGAGAATAGAAAGCAGGACCAGCAGAGAGGACTGTATAGCACAGTCACCAGGTGGGTCTCACTCAGGCCTGCAGGGAGCTTCAGAGCTGAGAGAATCCAAATGCCGGACAGCGCCAGGCTTGTATGCCCATGTCAACCAGTCCTGGAGGCAGGCTGCTCCCAGAAAGGGCAGGACACTGGGCAAGGCGCTCTCTCCACCTGAGGGCAGGTCACTCAGGGGAAGAGAGCTGAGAGATGCGGGCTGCCCACACTCGCACAGCTGGGGAAGGGAGGCTCAGGACAGCCCCCCAGGGAATTCACCGTGACCTA